TGACCCAATCTTACGGACGCCGAGTGGAAAGAGCTGCACGAACAGACCGGTAAGTTTGCACTTAGTTGCACATTGAGTAGTGGTCGCTTCATTCACACCAGGGCCTTCTCCCGCAGTCTGGCAGCCCTGTAGCAGTGGGAGTGGTTACACATGGTTCTGATGGAAGTGTCAGATTTGCTTACACATGCTGGGCCAGTTCCTCAGACGTGATACAACCAGTTTTCTATAGTTTCTTGCTGGGCGCCTGTCTAGAGCGTCGCAGCCCAATCGTACGTTGTCACAATTTGGCAGTTCAGGTATCCAAATCCTCACAGGCTGGGAGCTGCCGGACCAGCCAAAGATGTTTTCCGGTATTTCCGGGTATGCTATTAACAGGCAAGCCGGCAAGCCTCAATCCTTTGAGGTGAAATTGTGTTGTGATTGTATACGTTGCAGTTGCACTTCTTACTCACTGCTGACCACACCCCTTTGTGCCTTCAAAAGCACTCTTCCTCACCTTTCTTTTTTTGTTGTGAGTGACGGCAGGTGTTCGGAGGAGATGCGCGAGGAAGCGCTGCGGAAGTCGCAGGCAATCGATTTGAAAGACTGAGCAGATACATTTCACATCATTTCACAACATTTCAAAGCAGATACCGCATGACTTTCTATTTAACGTATAATATCGCTCTTACATCTTGTTCTCTTTCCTTCTATGGCCAAGGCGGAAGGACCTCCTTGCTTTAGCAAAGAAGATGTGGATGTTGAGGTCGGGTGTCGGGTGTCATGCAGATCTTTCTTGTACCGACCTGTTGATGCAAATGCAATGTAGAAATTGCCAAGGACCCTGAACATGAACACAAGTTGATGGCAGCGGAAGCAGCTAAGGCCAAGCTAGAAGAGACAGTGCACATTGATGCGCTTCATTCTTGTCAAGGGCAATCCGTGTCAAGTTAGGCAGCTGATGCCGCGGTCGCCGCAGCACCTGAAGACCAGGTGCTGAGTAAGCAGGCCATTCTTTTGCTCAGAAAGCGTGGGACCAGCGGATCAGCGGGTGGAAGACGACATGGAAATTGCTGCCGCCTTGGCCGCGAAACTGGCGTCCTGAGCAGGTGTTGTGGCAAAAGGCCTTCATCGCTGAAATGGCGAACCAAAGCAATTTGAAGCTTCCGCCGCAGGCAGTTCCTGCCGGACACTGTTCATGCAAAACACAAATTCCAGCAGACAATGCCTTTGGACAGGCTGAGGTCGAAGATTCTGAGTCGCAGACTTCTGAAGATCAAATGGAGGCCTTGACAGAGACTCAATGGGTTGAGACGCCTAAAGATCATTTTGGACTCAAGCTTGACTCAAGCAGCAACATTTTCATGTTGGTGAGTTCCTTCTACATGCTTTTTCCTGTCATGACTCAAGCCACTCTGATGCTTGTGCGATAGAGGTGCTTCAAAGACTTTTGGAGACTGTGACTCCTTGTGCTTCGACATATCCGGTGCAGTCCTTATCACTGTGTGGAAGAGCTTGCTGCGGCGACTGCATTGGCTGAGTTCTCCTTCTCACACTGGCCAGCAACATGGGATTGACAACTCACGACCATGACTGACGTGCTTTCTTGCCCCACAGAGACACTTCTGATTCTACTTCATTACCATTACACACACATATATAATCATACATATATATATATAAATAAATATATATATATATACATATTGTATTATATGGTACTTCTCATATTCATCATGTCGTTTTGTGCCACACCCTGTCATCTCTCTTCGCCTCACATCCTCGCAGCTTATCTATTTACTACTGGTCACTTGCACTCATTGACCTCGTTTGTGTCCTATTTACACGTGCTTTTTGAGAACGTTGTTGAATTGAACTCATGTATAGATCAGGTCAAAAGGCGAAATCTTAAATGTCTCTGTTTGACTTTGCCGTCGGCGGCTTCTGCCCCCAAAGCATCATGCTTAATGTAGGGTGCTGCTCTTGAGCATTTCATGTGAGCAGGCATTAAGAAGCTTCCTTGCTGTTTGCTCCTTTGCAGAGCTTGCATGAGCTTGTGGGGCAGAGCTTGCATGAGCTTGTGGGGCGGTCAAAAACACCCACACCTCACGTTTTGACAGCCCAGTCCACCTGTGTGCTTCTGGGCTTTCAATCAAACTTCAACCGTTCAGCCTTGCTGCGTTGAGAAACCAGTAGATTTGATGTTCCACCCAGGATACTCTTGCTTCGGATCATTACACACACATATATATATATATATATTATACGTACTTACACACATATATATATATATTTGTCAATATGCTAGCTTTCTTTGTTTTCACCTGGATGTTTTTGCCTTCTGCCGAAGCTCAAGGTGACAGTGACTCAGGCCACAGATCGACAGCGAGTCTATGCCTCAATACCCTTTGACAGCGAAGAATAGTTGATGCTTGAAGACTCTTCATGATGACCGCATGCAGGTCGAGGGGAAGGCCGACCATTGGACACCTTTGAAGGGAAGCCAGCTCGTTGTCAAGCCAGCGAATGAAGAGGACCATAAGTCACACTGAGCAAATTATCAGTGCGGATGCAACGTCGCACCTGCAGGATTGTATTCTGTTGGTGGCAAATATGCTCATTACGCCTGAATCCGACAGAGAGGCCTCAGCACAAAGCCACAACAAGCCAACAATCTGCACTTCCTGATTTCAGGAATCCCATGTACTTCTGAGACGAGATGACAGGGCTATTTCTTCGTTCTTCTCATCGTTCGTTGCTTACCGCATACCAGACCAAACTCTTCAAGTCAACACGCTTTCCTTGCCTTTACATGACATAATCATATTTCTTTGATCGAACGAATGCACGACAAATACTCTTCTGAACTTGGTAGAGCCCAGGTACAGCAGGCAAAGATCCTGGAAACTTTGCTGAGTTGTATGTGGTTTGAATACCTTCTTTGATTCGAATGCCGGAGACTGAGGAGTCATCATATCTGCCTTCCTTGGCTGGATCAGCCACTGAAACGAGGTGAATTTGAATACCAGGCGAAGAAGCAAGGTCCCAAGCGACATGGAAAGTAGTCTAAACCTCCTGGATGACATGCATTGTGCCAGGTGGTTGGCAATGCTGGGAGGTGCATTCGCACATCGTATTTTAGTTTGCGTCCTGTGTCACAAGTTTGTTGCTGAAAGCCGCCAGGGAAGGATCTCACTATTTTGTGGGAGAGAAGAAGGAACGGAGGCTGGGGATTTGCTAGGGGCTCCTGGCCGTACTACTAGGAGCAAGGACGCTACTAGGGGCTCCTGACATCGCTACCGGGAGCAAGGACGCTACCAGGGGCTCCTGACATCGCTACCGGGAGCAAGGACGCTACCAGGGGCTCCTGGCCTTACTACTAGGAGCAAGGACGCTACTAGGGGCTCCTGGCCTTACTACTAGGAGCAAAGATGCTACTAGTGGCTCCTGGCCTTACTACTAGGAGCAAGGACGCTACTAGGGGCTCCTGGCCTTACTACTAGGAGCAGGACGCTACTAGGGGCTCCTGGCATCGCTACTACTAGGGGCTCCTGGCATCGCTACTAGGAGCAAGGACGCTACTAGGGGCTCCTGGCATCGCTACTAGGAGCAAGGACGCTACTAGGGGCTCCTGAGCAAGGACGCTGCTAGGGGCTCCTGGCATCGCTACTAGGAGCAAGGATGCTACTAGGGGCTCCTGGCATCGCTACTATGAGCAAGGGTTTTGATAGATTTTTGGATCCCAAGATGTCACTCCCAAGCCTGCTTCGCTAGGCAGCTTTTCAGTCTTGTGTTGGAGGCCTTCCAGGCCCTGCGTTGTAGAACTAGAGAGGCTGCAAGTATCTACTGTATATAATGGGTTGCAACAAGAGGACGGACGCATCCTTTGTATTTCACGTGGGACCTTCCAAGAGCTTTGGTAGGTTGACATGTATTTCCCATCAACAATGTTGGTTTGAACAGACCTTCAAGGTGTTTTCAGAGAATGACAACGTACTTTATGTTTTGAGTTTGAGTCTCAAAGGTTCCTGCCAGGTTTCATGGGTTGAAGATGATGAAGTGCTAAGTCTTCCTCCTGGGCCATGGCAAGATGTGAATGGATTACACGAGGCCGGCTTGGTTGAAAGTTGAAACCCTAGTGGGGAAATAGTTTGCCTAGTAATGGTGTGGGTCCACATTCCCTGAGTTCCAGAGGTAGTCACTACATTGCCTGGAGAGAAAGTTTTGGTGCTGTGCACTCTGCACTACGTGGCAAATTGGTCAAGTCCCGCCCTTAGGGAGCAAGAAGCTACTAGGGGCTCCTGGCCTTACTAGTAGGAGCAAGGACGCTACTAGGCGCTCCTGGCATCGCTAATAGGAGCAATTGTTCAAAGTTTGCCACGAACAAATTGACGAGTGCAGCATCCAAGGCGAACTCAATCGAGGTCGCTTCACCGTAGTTCGCCGCGGCCCTCAAGCAATGCCAAGTTCACAAGTTGATGAACTTCAAAGACCAACAGAGCTCTTGCGTTTTTTGTTTCTCCATCAGATTCATTTTCCCACTCATGTCCAAGGCGATGACCTGGGCCTCGATGGTTTAGCAGAAGCTGGACAGCACCGATGCACGAAATTGCCGGCCCAGTACATGACCTCCATCCAAGGACAGAGGACTGCAGTCAGTGAGAGCGCTTGGACCAAGCCAGCCGCGCACGCTCCTGATGGTGCGGAAGGGTAGGAGAAGAACGGGACATGTGGTGGTTGAATTGGCTCCTTGGAGGCTACTGTGGATGAACCTCCACCTGGACCTCATTTGTATCGTGTCAGAGCTGCTTTGACAACCGATGAGGAGTTCCTACCTAAGCTTCAGAACAGCACCAGAGACCATTGAGTGGCATGAACAACGAACTGCAACTGCAGCTCACATTGTTTTTAGAGCTATTTGAATTTGGGCGTTTGCCTTCAAGCCACTTTGGCTCTGGAAGCTGTGGATCCTCCTAGTTTCGAAAAGATCTGAAGCCACCATGGACGCGG